TGTAATAATGTGTTAAAAGGTTTCTCTGTTCTTGTTTATCTTTATTTATTTTTACTTTTCACATTAATTTTTCACTTGTAGCAGGAGCTTTTCCTTGTGTCATTCTCTATTTTACTTGATAAAATACCATTATGACCACTATGATTTAAAGCACACCATATCATGTATATTTAAATACATCTAGTCTGTTGCAAACAGTGAGTCCTCCATGTATCAAACCAGTCACAACTGATAGAAAGAACTTGTCATCAGGTTTCTTGTTTTTACCATTCCCTCCCTTTGTTTTAAGTTACTGTATTTCACATAATGTTTAGTGCTTCTGCCCATTCAAAGAAGGCCTACTTTGCATTTCAGAGCATTGAAATTATAACTTGTTATAATAAAATCCTATATTTAAAGGTCAGAGCAATAGGAAGTGGAGGTTCTGCTTTCTGATATTTTCTGCCTGGGTCACATATGATTGTGGATGAAAGCCCAGTTTATTCAGAGGTCCTCTACAATGATGTATTGTGAGTCAGGGGGATGTAGACAGGAGAAAATTAGAGCTATAGCTTTCCTGTGAAATACTGTAGTATAGCTAGGTACATACTATGTGTGGAGTAGTCCTCTGAGTAAGAGAAGAATTAGTTGTTACAAACCTCTTCCAACAAAACATGATACAATATGTGACAGTACACAAGACTATTTAACATTAGGTGTGAAACAAATACAAATTTGAAAAATGCCATAGATACAAAAAGGCAAAGCATAAGCATGAAAAAGACACACACAGCCAATGGTATTTAGACAAAGCTCCACAACAGGTTAAAGTTATAAAATACTGTCATTTTTTTTTTAGATTTAAAGTAGCAATTATAATGAAAAAATATTTTAAAAAACATATATGCTTAGGATATAAACATGAAATATAAAACATACAAGAATATTTGATTATGCCATCAGTCATGTTAAAATACAGTGTGCAGCCACAGCTGTGAGCATAGGCTGGGAAATGATTGAGTCGAGCTGATCGAGCTCTTTTTTTCATTACCAATGATCCCTTTCCCACAGCTGCTTTTAAAATTTATGGAAACAAATTATGTCCCCTACTGCATATGTTGTCAATCAGGTGAGTGATAAAAGTGTAAACTTCAGGTCTGCTGTAAGACACCACAAAGCACAATTTAGCTTGGTTATTTAAGTCCTCTGTGTGCACAGAATAAAAAAATGACCTCCAAGAGGCTATGTTCAAAGCCAGCTGTCTCATTGCCACTGTCATTTGGACAATGAAAGAGAGAGCTATTCTGTCAGCACAGTTTTATATTAGAAAATTTGACCTGCAAATCTCAGCTACTCTGTTCATTATAAATCTCTTGTTTTTGTCCATACACTAGCTCCACTATAGGTTGGAAGGGCTTAAAGATGAACTGAGGAGGAATAGAGGCTACGACTTGAGAGTAACTATTATTGCTCAAAGGAGCTGCTTTCCATTCGCAAACATTGCTTTGCGCTATGGGTTTGGGCTCCTTCTGTTCCTCTACTTTGTTGAAGAATCTTTTTACTTATTTTACTTCTTTAGCACTTTGTCCACTAACATTTTTCCTCTCTCTCTAGTAGCTTTATCTGTGTCCTTTGGATCACATATTTTTAATTAGTTTGTTTTAAGAGATTGTTTCTGAGTTGTGGTTTGGTTTGGTTTGTTTGGGTTTTTTTCTTTAGGAGTGTGTTGTCGTTTCACTAGGTTTCATTCCACGGTTTGCTGAATTGCTTGATTATTTTGCAGCAGGCCATTCCTTATTTTCTCTTTCCATGTGGTTTTCAGTAAAAATTAGAGTGCCTCTTTCATTTTAAATAATATTTTCTGTATATAGACCCATCTCTCCTTTTGCATACCACATCTTTGGAGTTACCCTGTACCAACCCCAATTCTTTCTCTGTCTCTCTCTGTCCTTCTCTCTGTGTCACCCCCTATGTCCCTCTCTTTCTCTTCCGCTCTCTCATACCATTATACCTTCTTTTTTGGACCAGAATTGTTCTTCAGTTAATCATAAAGAGATATTTTCCTCTTCCACTGAGTTACTATTTTATCATGTCTGTGAAATCTGGAAAAACAACTCTGGGCCAAATTGGGGCATCACTGACATTTTGTTTGGAATTTCTCTTTGTGGCATTTTTGCTGGGAAGAAGGGTGGGTGCAGTTTTTTGTTTGTTTGTTTTTAAATGCAACAATTTTTTTCAGGGAAGGACACCATAAACCACTCTAAGTTGCAACATTACTGTCATAAATTATTCCATTACAATAAATAGACTGTGTTATGCTGTAGACTCCAGTTTGTTCTGTGAATTATATACATTTGGGGCAAGCTGCTGTGGATGGAAGAAAGAGGATTAAATATCAGGGAGGAATCAGTTTCAGACTTAAGAGATGGCTCTATTTTGAAAAGAAAGTAAAAATGGCATTTTGGGGTTCATCGTTCCTCCATCATTTCCAGATTAAGTTACAGGCAAAAAGATGTCTCTCTCAGTACCGGCCCATAAAACTCAGTTTGATAACTGAAAGTTAAACTGGGCTCTTTCTTCCTAAGCTGTCTTCATCAGTAATAAAGATTTTTTGGAGAAAATGATGCCCTCAGTGTAGCCTGTGCAACACCATTATCTAGAAATCATTTGCTCAGCTGTAATTTATTAACCCTGTGATTTAAACATAGTAACACTTGTATTGATGAAGCACAAAAAGGAAAAGAATCCAGTTTACACTTTCTTTAGGACTTATCTTGCCTGCAAAGTTCACTTCAATTATATAAATCAAGCTTTGGTCCTCACCTGAGTCCCATTCTCACACAAAACCCAGTCACTCAAATGTAGTGATAGTTTTACCACAAGTTGGCAAGTCCACATGGAAGTAAAAATTACAGTTTAAGATGCAACGATTAATCACATCATCGGTGCCTCTTGAATGTTGTTTCACAATGTGGCCGTTAGGCAAACTTGAGAGAAATTAACTCAAGGGTAGATAACTTGAGTTACCACAGCAGTGAAGACATAGGCCCTTTGTACACACCACAAAATTGACCTTTAAAGCAGCTTAAATGCCCTTTTGCATTGCTTTAATGGTGTGACTATTTACACTGTTGGCAGCGTATTGCACATTAATTGACTTTGGGGGACAGCAAAATACAACATATCCAAGGTGTTTTACTTTGCTATCTTAAAGCCGTGGAGGGAAGTACCAGGCCCTGTACAACTCAGGGGCTGTGTAGGCAGCCCGGCAGCAGCCCGTGCAGGCAGGCTTCACTGAAGGGGGGGGAAAAAAGCAGGAAACCTGAACTTAATTTTTTTTCCTCCCCGGAGCCTGCCTGCCTGAGCTGCGTGAGGGCCCGGTGCTTTCCTCCACGGCTGTGGGGGGACTGGTGCTTTCTTCCACAGCTGCGGTGCCCCCTGGGCAGGTGGGTGCCACCTGGGGAACGCCATTGCCACTACGGAGGGAAGCACTGCCCCCTCCCCCCCACCTCCCCTGCAGCTCAGGGACCGCTCGGCCCACTGGCAACTTGCCCTCCCCTCCTTCCCTGCCACCAGAGTGGCAGGTAAGGATCAGGCCCGACCCTTGTGTACATGCCATGGGGGGTTACTTTGCCCTAAATTGAAGCAGTGTTTTTAAAAACCCACCACTTCAATTTAGGGAGAATTAAACCGAAGTAAACCCCCGTGATGTGTACAAGCAGCCATAATCTAAGCAGTGATGGCTCTGTAGAACTAACACTAACAACAAATTATTATATTATCCATAGCAAGTAGATGTAATTCTAAATAAATGGGATTTAATTTACCACTGTTATTTCAATGTTACATGAACGTGCACTATTAATTTCATTGGAGTTACACTAGCATAAAGCTTGCAAAAGGTAGGGCATCTTAGGGTGTCTTTACATGAGCTTGAGAGTGGGGGAGGGGTGAACTTTAATTAAAGTGGCTCTCAGGAGTGTCTGTCATTGAAGCACCGAGAGCATTTCGTGTATTCAGCATCCTGAGCTTCAAAACGGCAGCGGGGGGGGCGCTTTAACTAAAGCTCATTCAACAAACTTCAGTTAAAGTGCCCCCACCACCATTTTGAAGCATGGAGATGCTGAATACACATGATGCTAAGGCTGCTGGAGCATGCTAATTAGCACACTCCAGCAAACTTGATTAATCGAGTCTGCTCCAGTGCATGCTAATTAGCATGCGTCAGAGCAGGCATCCGGCACGTGTGTAGGTGCCCTTAGAGACTAGCTTCAGACTAATCAGCTGACTGCCTCTTAGCATAAAACTAGAGTAACACAGCTGGAATCAAGCCTACAGAGAACAGATCAGTTGAAAAAGGAAGTGCCATTTTTATACAGTCTCTTCCAAGTAGAGCTACACTGTAAAAGTCACATTAAACAGCATTTAGCTAAACTAAACTTAAACAACTGAGTAAATTCGTCTAGCTCCAGCCAGAAGCTGTTTGTACAGCTGTGAAGCAGAACCATTAAATGTTTTCAGACGCAACGCATTCTAACTTGGTAACATTTTGATCTTTTGTTTATGACACCTTGGTGATTCAACTGAAAGTGGCAATAATTAAGTTTTCAAACAGATTATGAGTATATACTTTTGTTATAGTTTTTGCCTGGGCATAAATTGTACAGGATTTAGGTTTAGGTTTACTGCAGTAACAATTATATATGAGTGAACTTGGCATGTTAATGTAAAATTTAAGTTTGAATGTATTTCTGAAAGATTTGTAGTAATTTTTTTTAACCTGGCACTCTGTCCTTTAGGCTGGCTTGTTTGTTTTTATAATTCCTGATATCAGATTCAGGTTGTCAACAAATAACCTTGGGCTTAAATATATGCATCATATACATACTATATAAGACTGTTAAGGTCTAAAAATATGTAGAGCCTCTGTCTCTAGATCCCAGGAGCTTGCCCATTAAATCTACATATCGTGCTATGGGTGTTATCTGTGAAATCTCACAGAATCTGTTCTCTCTCTGCAGGTCCAGTCCAGGTGCAGCAGCAAAGAAAATATCCTCAGAGCCAGTAAGTATTGCAGCCTTCCAGCCATACATTTGAACTATAACTCCTGTTTTAGATAGGAAGGGGACAGCAAGTTTCAATCATATTTTGGTGGAATAAGAGGAGGACAGGAAAGGGTTCATTTAAGTGCCCAGCAGGAATGGAAAAAAATAGGTCAGTGGATTTTGAGACAAAAAGAAAAGGGAAAGAAAGGAAAAATATAAATAGCCTCTACCTTCCTAAAATAGCAGTTACTGTCTATACGTTAATGGGTAGTTTCTTAGTTCTCATTGCAGTCTATGCTATTTAAGTTATTGTACTACTAGAAATGATAGAGACTTTACCATAGTGCACATAAAAATGTCACAGAAGAATTAACACACAAAAATGGAAATTCTTCAGAATAATATAATGATTTGGGCGGGGAGGAGGGTTAAGAAAAGCTGAGCTAAAGAAGAAAAAATAAAACTGGATACCAAACAAAGCTGGAGAGAGGCTTGGGCAATGCCCTGCCCATGACCTGGGGATTAGACTGCTTTTCTGGGAACCAGGAGATACAGGCTCAAAACACCTTGGGCTGTGGGGGGAAGGAAGGGAATTAAAATCTGGCTCTTTTGCTCCCTTGGAAAGTGCTTTAACCACTTGACCCTCTGAGCTAAAAGGTCAGAGGACCCTCCTCCTTTTCCAGCATCTAACACCCAGTAGCTATAGTTTTTCTATGACTAAAGTTTTGGGGCTTATCAAGCCTTATATGTATACCTGGGCGATTCTGTTTTCTCACATAGCTGCCCAATCATAACCCTACTGTGTATGCTTAGTAGGTTAGCACAGGCAATGCTAGGCACTCCTACATGTGCATTAATGTTCTGTAGTTACACGCATTAAGTTTAGTACCTGTAATAACAGGTACTAACTCAATGCTCAGTAACTGGCACTACTGTGCAGTAGTGCCAGCACACACCTTTTTAGTGATGCTAACGCGCAGTAGACTAATTCTACTGCATATCAGTGCATTAGCATGGCTTTTGCCCCGACACGCTAATACACAGTAGAATTAGTCTACTGCACATTTAGTGTCTTGTGTAGACACGCCACTGGCTCAGCTGCAAACTGCAGGTAAGTGCTAAAAGCAGCAATTAGGCAGTTACATACACATTATACTTAGGCATGTACAGTGTCCCTCTTTAAGTAAACCACTCTCAGTCCAAAATTGATATAAAATAAATTTATTATTTGGTCTGGGTCTGAGCAACATGGGAAGTTGGTCATATGGTCAGACAGAATGGTATTCAGGATTCCTGGGTTCTGTTGTTAACTCTCCATCTGATTAGTTGAGTGGCCTTAGGCAAATCACTTCACTTCTCTGCCTAAATTAATTGACTTCTGGTATGAGTATTTTATTAGTTTATCATATAGTGCATAGTGGGATGTAATGAATTATCTTTAACGCACTTTGGGATAAGTGAATCATTCTTTGGCAAGACTCAGAATCTCTTAGGCAGTCTTGACAAACAAGAACTCAGTCATTCCTTAAATGAAATAAGTATCCTTATAAGTTAAAGCTGTCCATTAAGGGTGTGCAAAATGGGCCATATTCGATTCAGATTCAGCCCAAATCAGGGACAGTGATTTGATTCGTTGATTTGTATCACTGTCCACATTCAATTTGGCCAAATCCGAATCTGAAGATTCAATGCTGATTCAGAGAATCAGCAATTCGGCCATAGACACAGCTTTAAATGTTTTTTCTACATACCTCAAGGTTCCAGGCATGCTATGATGCTGGGGTGGATGAAGTGTCCCACAGGAGTGCAGGGGGGTCCCCCGCGTACTCAGCAGCAAACCAGGAAGTACTTCTGGTCCACTTATGGGTCCACTGCTGAGCGCGCGGGGGACCCCCCACACCTCCCGGCTCAGTCATCAGCCACAGGGGGACCCTGGGTGCCTCCCCAACCAAAGAGGCAGCAGTCGCCAAGCCAGGGGGAATAAAGGGGACCCCCAGTGTGCTCCCCAGTGGACCCAGAAGTGGACTGGAAGTTTTACTGGTCCACTTCCTGGTCCACTGCCGAGTGTCCTAGGGACCCCCCCCACACTCCCATGGGACGCTCCATCCACCCCAGCATCTCAGCATTCATGAGCCCCCTGGTACTTTGAGGTAGGTAGAAAAAACATTTAAAGCTGTGTCTATGTCCCAATTGTCTAATCTTTCTGAATCTCTCTGAATCAATTTGAAGGGTTCCAATTCAATTTGGAGAGATTAAAGGGTCTCCTGATTCGATTCGGATTAGGAGATTTGGCTTCCAAATTGGGCCAAATCTGCTGAATTGAATCAGCGACTGAAGCTTTGCACAGCCCTACTGTCCATGTAAGTGAGTGTTTTCCCCTCAATTTAACTAGTTGACACACCAGAAAGAAATTAATTAAAAGGTGAGGAGTGGAATGTCTGTATGTTTCCTTCCTCTTTTGTATATTAGTGTTATGACTTCCTGAAGGGTGCAGTGACAAAGCAGTTTTGGTCTCTCACTGTGGCTCCAGAGATATGAATTTGAGCCCCACTCTGGGCTTTTGCTAAAGAATGCTCCAACTATAAATAGGCATATGATCATTTTGGCAGGTGCATCAAAGGTGGGTGAAATGATGCTAGCCATAAAACTCCCTTCTGTGTGGTGGTATTTATAGGAACTGGCATGTCTTAAGTACACAAGTCAAACTGGCTATCTATGTTCAGGTAGACCTTTGATTTTAATTATGAATGTATACAAATGGTTTGTTTGGGTTGCATGGGTGTCTGGTGCCTCTTGAGTCAGGGGAGGCACATGCCCCCCTCCTCCCCCCCCGACACCAGTCAGCGACCAGGGCGGGGTCCCCCAGCAACCAATCCCACTGACCGTAGCCACTTTTGCTGGCAGCCCCGCTCGCCAGCCAGCGCTCACGGGGGGGCACTGGTACTCTGCCTGCCCCCCTACCCACCAGCTAAACAGGGAGTGTGGCCTGACAGGGGGTATACCGGCACTCTCATGCCTGTGTACCCCCTATACA